ATACAAATTTATTTATATATTGGAATTATAATAAAGAGGATTGGCGTAAGAAGGAAAGGTATGAAATATTAAGTCAACTTATATAGTATTTATTATATATATAAAATTAAATGAGAAGAATATATTTTTGATAGGGAAAATCAGTAATGCAGAATAATGTCCCTAGAAACACTGTATTAATTTATTTTTACAGTCTTACTCTTTAACTTCAAAATGAGACAATATACTACAAGTCTCATTTATAATTGGCCATTAGGCTTCATTTTGTCTTAATGTATACAAAATTTTTAAGCATCAAAACTTTTTCTCAGTGAATGTAGCCTAATAAGTCAATCAGTTCATCCTGCCAGTTTCCATAACAATGATCTCCATTTGCCTAATATTAAAGTGTTCTCTTATTCCATGAGCCTTGGTAGCGCCAAAAAAGTATGTGTTGTCTACGCATGCTAAAAATTAAAAGTTTAAGTTCTATTTGACAATATTTGAGAACTGTATCTGGCAACTTATTTTTTCCAATGACACTATGATTATTTAATTAAGTAACTAATTTCAAGTCTACTTTTCTTAAGAATATGAGTCCAAGAGTATTTCAAGTCAAATCAAGTATATTTGTCAAAAAGTTCTTTGATAACATGTACAATGTATTTATTAACATGAAGGAATTGGATGATATGCCAATCCCTCTCGCGCCTCTCCTCGTAATCGGCAATCGTTACATTTTTAATTGACCTCTTATCCAGTCATAATATTAAATTGAGACAAATCTAGGTTTAAAATGTTTATGGTACCATTTATGATGGTATAACAGTAATAATTATCAGTTTCCTGAGACACTATAACTATTGACACAATGCTCATGTTTGTCTAGTCAAGTGTCCGATTATTCATTAAATGATACAAACACTTAATGTGTACCTTATTTTGAGGTAGAATATATAGGTGTTTGTCAGTTCAATTTGTTTATTACTATTAATAACAAACTATTTTTACTTATGAATAAAAAGCTAATCCCTTTTTATACTTTCTTTAATTTTGGGGTTCTTATTATAAGTATAATATTCAATTTTTGGAATATATCAAAGTATATGGATAGGTCACAACTATATACATTCTCATACTTTAAATACGTTTTATTGTCAATTTTAAGTTTCATATATTTGGTCCATAAGTATTCATAAACGTTTTCTTTCATATTTATATGTTTAGATTCATTTTGTCATCATTATCCTTTATTTAATACAATATACTTTTCTAATATTATTAACTCTCTAGCCGCGGATAATTTCAAAAACGCAGACGAAAGTTTATACTGATTTATTACAAAAAAAATTATAATAGAATACGAAAAAACGTAATAAAAATAATAGAAGATAAAGAAAATGTGTTTATCATTAAATGTGTTCTTGAGTGTGATATAGTTCAAAATATGAGCCAGTAGGTAAATCAACATTAGAATTTTTAAAAATTCAAGTGACGTGTTTCCGCGTTGCTCGCGGATAGAGGGTTAAGCTATTCACGTGGTATAATGTATTACTGTGGTTAGGCATTATATTTACTATTGAAAAGATCTGGTTATTCCTGGTTTTTCAATTGAGTCGACTAAATTCAAATATAGGTAAACTAGACCTTTTTTGTACAGATAATTACTTTCAATTCATAAGTTTCTTGATTTTTGCAAATTACTTCTAATACTTCATTCTATGTGATCTAATGTTAGGTTGTATGATATAAAATAATTAAATTGTTTTAGTTTACTATGTAGGTCCTATCTATGATGTAATGCAATTTTTCTATGTTATATGTAGTATTGACATAGAAACAAGTCATTGGGTGCAATTCGTGACTATGAGAGCAGGTAGAGTTTTCATAATATCTGAAAAATTGAACAAGAAATTTAGATCAAATGTCAGCTCACTTTCTATCTACTTTATAGAAGCATAAGCTGCTTTTATCCTGTTTCTTACATAGTCTTGTAATTGGCACTGTGTTTGTATCAAATCAGAAGTAAATCCTTTGCATGTGACACACACATTTGATATTTACAGCACATGTGTTATAGTCTATGTTAATTAAAACATCTCTAATTTTGTTATTTGATATTGTATATGCAAAATAGATATACCTAAGAGTTTAAATTCTTGACATTTATTTCCACTACATTTGAAATATCATTCAGATGTTTTAGAACACTCTGATATTTACCGCTAGAATAGTTTGTATAGGACTTTGTTTCTGTGAATTTTAAATAATCTGTTTTGAACATTGTGGAGATCTTAAACGTTCCTGGATACTTAAGGTTTCCTTTTGCTGCTGAGCCAGGGTTGGTGCTATTACCTTCTTCACATAATAATTTCCTTTTAGCCAAATAATTCTTATAAGACTTAGGAAATTTGGAGCAGGTAATCTATATTCACCATCTGAGACAACTTATTTTTTCATGATTACCTGCTACTTGAAGGGTATAATTATAATTTTAAAATTCTGTGACTGTTTTTATACTTGAGAGCTTGTTAATGATTGTTAAAGAAATGTTCTGTTTATTATTGAAATTTATACTATTGGCCACAATTTTATGTCTCCACTTATACCATGCAACAGTTTTATTTTATTTATTTTTAAAAATGATCAACACTGTTAATAGATTCTACAAAGGTGAATCTAAATTACATGGTAATATATATAGTTGTGTAAAGGACGGTTTGTTCTACTATTGATTCATCATCAGCACCATTGTTTTTGAAACTTTCATTTGTTTTGTAATATGCTTCTCACTCCATCGCAATGATCGTTAGTACTAAATGTAAAACATGGATAATCTTACCATACTCGTGAATGTACTTCAAATTTTTTTTCTTCTTGGACATAAAACACCTATCTCAGCTACATTCATAAAAGACTCATTTTGGAGTGTATGACATTTACACTGGTTGTCTATTAGGCATATCTACTTACATTTTACAACCTCATAATAGGACACTACAATCATGCTTAATACAGTCAAATGTTAGTTGTTTCAAGCATATATATAAAAATATAGTTTGTAGAAAAGTGTTTAGAAAGATAAAAAGAGTTAATAATCAATCATTTATTGGAATGAAAAAAATAATAAGTTTAGTGTAAAAGAATTTGTTGAAAAAAGACAGTATTCAATAACATTGTGAGAATAAAGATTAGACTATTATGGTTTCAATGCGTGCCTTTCACTCATGGATTTGTGTGAGTTATATATGTACATACTGTATGTTAATAATATATTGCAGACTATATTTGTATGAAGTGATGATGATTCCTATAGAATACATATAATTAAAGTAAAAATTCTTATAGTAAATATGTGTTGCATAATATTATATGTATGAAAACTCCATCTTTCCATTACTAGTATACAAGTTTCTATCTGTTTTTGTTTATTTATTAAATTGCTTTATTTTAAATTTTACGTTACTTAAAATTTTATAGTGTTTAAAATGAACTTAATTTTTAAAAAAGTAATTGTCAACTTTTATACCAAAAATATATTAATTATTTTAATGCAATTGTAAATATTTGGCATTCAGTTTTGGAATTTCAACTTTTTTTAATAATACTTGATAAGTCTGTACTTAATTTATTCAATAATATCATCCTTGTTGACAGAAATAATTTTTTTTCGAGTAATATATCACAGAATTAGTTAAACAATTTTCTAGGAATATAACTATGTTCTGAATTGGTAGAAATTTTAGGCAAATATGTACTCTTTTTACTATTAAATTCAGTGTACAAAATTTACGCGACAATATTAAATGAAATAATTAAAAAGAATATAGATAAGAAAGGGATACTAAATGAGACACAAGCTGGTTTCAGGAAAAATAGTTTACTGTTCAATGCGCAGACAGATCTATATTTCATTGATAATATACAGAAAATATAGGTCTGCTGTTATTGATGTACAGAGCATGTAAGCTGTTGTCTGCATTGAAATGATATTTGCTAAGAATAATTGTGTGTTATGCTAATTGACAACAGGTGCCTTTGCAGCTCTCAATAAGAAGTAACACATCATTATTAGTCATGGTAGTGAAAAGTGCTTAACGGAAAGAAGTACACAGAATTCAAATAATAACATCTTCTTTACAATATATTGAATGTTTTTAAAAAATATTATTCTATAAATAATTTTATGTATAATTGTATGAAAGTTTTGTTTCCTAAAGTGAATTTGTGCGTGTTCACAAATGTTTTTATTAAGCATTATAAATATGCATATATTAATATTAATATTAACTGTACAATTACAGACTGTAGAAACCACCCAATTTTTAATAAAAAATGATATCAGGTGAGAAGATATATTACAATTATGTTTGAAAAACAAGCAATTGTGAATAAATGTGATTAAAAAATTGTCTATAATGCCACTTAATATTATATATTACAAGACTTTTTTACATATATTGCTTACACACAGTTTATTTTTATTAGAGAAAATTTGCCATGTCCATTACCATTAACAACTTTAGACTTCATTCACAATTTCACAAAACCCAATTTAGAAAATGTATGGCCTTGTGAAGTGCGTTTTTACTGGTTATCACTGCAACCATTCGTCAATATTGTGCGGTTTTTACTTGGATACATAACTCCATTTATAATAATTTTAGGTAAGTGTAATTTCAGTTGGTGTGAAGTTTTTATGACTCTCGTTGTATTGTACTAAATTAAATCTTCTTTACATAGGTGTGTTATTAAACACAGTTTCCTTTGTAATGCTAAGTACTCCTATACTTTGCGAATCAAATTTGTCACTTTACTTAAAAACTCTTGCGTTATCTGATAATGGAGCACTGATTTTCAACTACGCTGTGGGTATTGCAAAATCTGACTTCATATTTGTTAATAATCTTTTCATGGTAAACAATTAATAAATTATTTAATTTATATATAATGTAATTAAAAGTTTAAAGTTATAATTTTTTTAGAATAGCAGATTTCTGTGCAGTTTAAATTCTGTTACTATGGAATTCTTTCAATTTACATCAACTTGGCTTGTTGTAGCGTTAACATGGACGCGAGTTTTTGTTATTATATTTCCTTTTGGAATACCTGGTCATTGTAACAATTGTTCTGAAATGATAACTATAATAACTTTAATATGTACCAGTTTTATAATATCATTAACAAAACTATACTCGGGAGGTAAAAGTATTTTTTTTATTATATTTGCTATTTAATATGTCGATTAATGTACATGTTAATAGAATCGTAAAAAATAGTACAAAATTGTATCTTCTTATATGTTTGAAACAGTTTACTTTAACTTTAGGATATGAAACAGATAGTGTCTTTGAATTTATACCATGCCAAAAAAAAATAAAACCATGGGGTAGTGCCATGTACCTTTACATTGCTTTATCAACATGGTTACCTTTGCTCTTTATATTTATCGGAAATATTTTGCTTATTTTTCACATGAAAAAAACTGAAAAGATTCGTAATCAATTGACTCGTAAGTGCATTGCTTTATTGGAACTTTAAAAGCTAAAGAAATACGAATATCTTCAATGATATTATTTCTTAGAAAATTTCAGACAGAAAGCAAACAGAACGCATCATACATCTAGAATATTATTTGTGGTATCAACTGTTTATTTAGTGTTATTATTACCTCTGGGTATTGTTGAAACTTTGGAACTCTATTGGGATGTTATTCTAATTAAATATCCAGCTACAGGGGCAAAGAAAAAAGCAGAATATATACATTGGTATGTAGAAACTATAAACTGAAAAAGACTAAAGTATTTATATTGAAAGTAGAGCATGTAGTATTTAATTCTTAAATTTTTTACTATTTTTCAGGTTGAAAGAAAAGATGCTATTAAAATGGTGTCGTGGATTATGCTTCCATATATACCACTGGAATTTTGCAATTAATTTTTTTTTATATTATCTTACTGGTGAGAAGTTTAGGAACGTTGTGATACAAACAATGTGCCGCTACAAAACTAGAATATTTTCATTATTTTGCAAGCATATTGACAAATGTATACCTTGTTCAAAGTACCCTATTCATTTTAAATGTATGCAGTCTTCAAATGTGTCACTCATAAGAGCTATTACATTAAGTAAACATTCTATTAATGAGATTAATTCAACACAAAAAAATAACAACTTTGTTGCAAATTGTTGAATAACATGAAAGATACATTGAGAACCTTCTTAAAGACTGTCAGTATTAAATATCATAAAATATTCCTTCAAATACACATCCTTTTATTGTGTACATTATTACATACTTCATGGCAAGTTTTTACAGTTATTTCATTTTTTACAGATATATTGTGTTTAAATTATTCTCTTCATTATTATTCTTATTATTTTACTTAATTTAAAATGAATACCTTTATTGTGTAACATATTAATTTGCTTTACATACATGACAAAATTTATTACTAACATAGTCAAGTATTACATAATTTTTAAATAATTTCGTAAATCAGATTTTTATGTGTTCTATGCATGCACATAAATTGTTATACATAATAATTGTAATAAGGATTCTTCTTCCTTTTTTTAAATTAATTTCGTATCTGGTCCCAATAAATATCAGGAGATTTATAGAAATTACAGACTTATTAATACTGTAGGTCAATTTTTCTCCAATTTTTTAAATCAATTATATAATAATTTGGTGAATATTAACAGTTAAAAAACATATCTTCATACACGCTCGCACCCACACATACACTAATTTTCATTCACGTACCTTTAAGTAATAAATATACATGAAAATATGTTTCAATTAAATATTTAAATATATTTCATTGTAAGATTCATGTAATTATATATTTACATTAAAATGTATGATTTTTTTAATGTAAGGAAAACTTTTTTACATTCTTAAAATACTTATTTACATACATTAACTATAACATTATTTTTGTATTGGTAACTCGCTCAATATGCATTTATTAGATTAAAAAATATAATTAGATATCTACTAAACATAAATAATATTATAAATGAAATATAACTATAATTCATTAGTATATAATTACTTTTGATTCTAAAAATACAGTATAAAACAAATTGTACAAAACAGTCATAACAACTGCTGTTTTTTATATATTCAGAAATTTGATCTTAATGTTTATTACACAAACAACAATAATATATGTACATATGCAAAAATACAACTGATTTATGTGTGTTGCCCACAGTAATATATAAAATTTGAATTGCTTTTCTACAAATATTTGACAATCAAATATTTTATGCTAGCTGGATTTTATCCACTCATTAAGTTGATTGTTTTAACTAAAATACATCTGATCCTCGATTTACGCGGAAATTTTTATGCGCGATCTGAATTTAGTAACACCGAATGAATAAAATGTACTTTTGTTTTCTAAAATGTCATTATTATTTTTTTATTATATGGTATAAATATGTATTTTTAAAACTTATACCAGCTTTTCTTTTCAATATTTTCATGTAAATCGAGGGTCAGGTGTATAAAAAATTATTACTATAAATATGAAATCAAGTTTGTGGATGATTAAAAACACAAATAAGAAAACATATTGTCTCAAAAAGGAAGTGACCAAAGATTATAAAACATAAGGTAATATTGATGCACAAAGTAGATAGTTATAACAGCTGGTCTTCTAAGTAGCCAAATATCAGCACCTTAGATCCAAAATTTGACTTTTTGTGTAAATATAATAAGAAACAGATGATTTAGATGATCATCAATGGCAAATAATATTCATATTTGGTAAAAGACTGACAGCTTTTTTATATCGCAACACCCGCATTCGGATAAACGGGAGATTCAATCGGAATCATTGATTTGTATGATTAAAACTGTGAAATTCAGGATAAATCACTGTAAAGCATGTGGTATGATTACAGTTTTTCTGTTAGAAAGTGGTATATACTATTGGGCAATAATGCATAGAGGAGACATATATTAAAATAAATGAAAGGCGGAATATGCTTCATGAATTTCTAAAAGAATAAGAAAGTATGCTCACAGATATGTAAGTAAATATCAAATAAGATGCCTCGATAAAAAGGAAAAAATTATATGAATGCATAGAATGTTTCAACAACAATTTGTCAATCAACAACATTTTCATTTCAAGAGTTTACCAGAAGTTGAAGCTGCGTAGTAATTTCTAATAATAGGTAAAGTGCTATTTAAAAGAAAAATCACACTCCAAATAACAAAAAAATTGTCTTGAAACACAATCGACGATAATATATGGAAAATTAACCATACTAATATAATTGAAGGTTTTTTTCATGGAAGTTTCTATTCTGATGGATGTTCAGCATTTGTTATAGTTAGGCTAAAATATACTCAATGTACAGAACAGTATGGCCAATTTGATGAGCCAAAGTGATTACAGTTTTCCTCTATTGTTTACTAGAATGTAGCAACATTATGATCTTCTGGCACTTTTACCAAGATCGAAAAGTCAAAAATTTTGAGGAATTTGTATACCATGAAACTGACAAATAGGTTGTAAAATAAATAATCTTTTCTAACAAGTTAGATCTGATCATGTACTGATACGCTGTTATACCTAAAGGAAGAATTCATTATAATGACACATAGTATAAGAGAATAATCAGAAAAATAATGATTTAGATTTTTGGCATTTATGTGACTAATGATAATACTGGGCCATTTATAGAAATGAATGATTTATCAGTTGTTAAAATGGAGTTGGACTTAAGATATTAATCCTTGGCAGGTGTTGCATTTTTGTAAGAAAAAAGATTAAAGAGATACATTAAACAAAATAAAATTAATACTTTTGTGCATAAAATAGGAATTGACTTGTGTTATTATGGGTGTCCATATTTAAATTCAAAATATGGTATATATTAGATTTATGCACACATCACCTGGTTAAAGGTTTTTCACTCTATTGATATAATGACAGTGGCGAGCATTATCACCATGTTGCATAAAATTTTAATATTATGTCATCATCAATATGCAACAATATGTATTAACTTTAAAGGAAAGATACAATTCAAATAATATCTACAATGTAAGGTAAATATTCTTTGATAGGCACTAACGCTTGTATTAAGATAATTTTAATTTTGTGCATAATTATATTAAATATATAAAATTGTATTTATAATTGAAAAATTATTACAAAGCTTTATATCTGCATTTTTCCATATATTTCAGAATATGTTCATATGTTAAAGTGATAATACACATTATTTGAATAGAGATTAATTTTAATGATTGATTATTTATCATTATGATACTTTAGAAATAGCATTTTATATAGTATTTTGTGAGAATAGTGGAAAGTTATTTTTGTTGTGCCCTTTAATCTTATAATGTCAAAAATAACTCTTTTACATTTAAAAATCTGATATAAGAACTAATAAAAAATATCTTTCTTGTAAAATTTGCAAGACAATATATAAGTGTATATAATTCAGTCTTTTTATGAATAGAACTTTATAAGATAAATCTTTATCCGTTCAATATGTCTAAAAAAGTACACTTTGAACAATGAACATTAATCTTTCATCTTTTTTCTTTAAGAAAAAATTATTGGAAAAATATTTATCCGATATAAAGAATGAGAATTAAATTTGTCATAGAGAAAATACCAAAATGTTAGTACAATGTAACAACTAATGTGATAATGGAATATTACATGGGATTTTGTTTACATAATTTATTGGAAATTGCCCTTTCTGACCTTCACACTCACCATAAAACCAATCTTGTGATAACCTTGATAAAACAGTAATTTTTGCACCTTCCTGTAATATGTATATATAGATAAAAAGTAAGAAATTTTATAGTAGGAAATACATACATAATGTACATTTAACGACTTACATCAAATGTTAAATCTTCTGGCGTTTCACCTTTAAAGGAATAAATAGCAGTAACTATATTGTCTAGTATGCTAGGCAATTGTACTTTGATATTAATAAAATTAATTGGAAATATCCCTTGTTGATTCCCCACTCTTCCCTCCATCCAGTCATCATTAATCTTTTTTATTAAGTATACTATATCTCCTTCTTTAAGAGGTAAATCATCTGCATGCGTTACTGGGAAATCATACAGTGCAATTCCATATGGTTCTTTAATATTAACCTACAAATACAAATGAGAAAATAAGAAATACTTTAGTACAGTATGTAGATAAATTAAACAGTAATTACTTACTAAATGATCAGATTTTTCTTCTGTTAAATATTCTAATGGTGGTGCTGGTGGTGGTATGGTGGGCATTGGGGGTGAAGGGCTATCTTTAGTATCAGATGGCCATGAATGCATTAAGTCTAACATCACTGGCTTAAAAGACACTGTTTCATTGCTTAATGAATGTAGTCCTATATCAACTTGATTTACTTTTTGTTCTATGCTTTTTTGTGAAATTTTTGGTGCAGCTGGTTTGAGTGGTTTTGCACGAATAATAGTTGGCATTGATTGAGCAGGTTTTGAACAAGCCTGATTGGAAGGCACTTGGTTGTAATTATTTGGTGTAATTGTGTTAAAAACAAAGAAAGACGCATCTCCCACATGTTTCACAGGCTGCAATGCATTATGATTAGTAACTTCTAATGGCCCAAAAGGGTCTGACACTGAATTAACCTGCCAAGGATCATTTTGTGATACTTTTTTAGCAGACATTCCAAAAAAGTCAAAATCATCTTCAAAGGCACTTTCTGTTTGAGATGTATTTCCACTACTTGTAAATACAGAAGGATTCGAATTACCATCGCTGCCAAAACTATCTACACTAACACCATCACTACTCGAACGAGTTGTGAAAGTTGGAGATTCGGGTGGACTCAGGTTTATCAAAGAGACTGACCCATTTATATTTTCTGATTGCAGTAATGTATTCTGTACTTGGTTATTAAATTGTGTTGTGCTTGGATGATGATCATTTCTCTTTTTACCAAAAAGGCTGGTTAATAGTTCCGTTGGTTTTGCCTATACAAATAAGTAAACAAAATTATGTAACAATTAAAAACAATATATTATTCTAATTTAAAACTAAAGATTTTAAATAATATATATTAATGTAATTAGATAGTTCCATATACCGGTGGCTTTTTTAGTCTGTCCTTTTGATTTTGTAAATAATTTTGATTAAATTTTGGTGGTGGTGGTCGAGGTGGCGGCTTCTTTTTCTGAACTGGTTGTTGTGTTAAAGTAGATCGAAAAATGTCATTTCTGAAAACACATTGAAAAGTAAAAGAATATATTATTAAATCAAATGATTTAGTTTGTAAGCTTGAAATTAAGGCTAAACATATATAGTGTTATTATTTAAAAGTTAGAATTTCTCATGTCAAAATATTATTAGCGTCAAACATAACATGCACACGAAAAAATATATACTGTCTATCTATATAATGAACTACAGAAATAAAAATTGCCTTCGCAAATCAGTGCAAAACTTACGAGCTATTCCAAAGAGCAGCTCTTTGTGTCGTTGAATTAACAGGTGGACGAGGAGCTGATCGTGTAGGAATTCGCATTTCTAAAAAGAAATAGAATAAGATGATATTTAAGACGTAACTTCGTCAACGCACACTGTCATGTGTATGCAATGCACAGGCAGACATCGATTGTACAGATTCTTTTCTACACAATCATATACAGCGCAGATGCAGATGCGTAGAAACAAATGTACAACAGGAACCATGAAAAAAGTAACTATATTTTGAATAATCAGGTTTTTACGCCCCGATTATGTGTTCATTATCGGATACGGTTTGACGCAATGCAAATTCCCAAGGCGCGGCGATAACAACGGAAATTTAACGAATCGTAATTGTACTTCGATTTGACGTATGAATTCAAGGTGAAACGTAGAATTAAAATTCGAGAATAATCTCAAACACGGTCACGATACTTTTTAACACTTACATTTCTCACTACATCAAAACAATACTGTTCAAACGATTGCAAACAATGACAGGTTTGAGGATAAACTCACCTGTTCTTACGTTTGCGGCCATTTTTCATTCAATTCAGTAGCGGATATATTCACTATTACGGCAGAACAATGTGTTTAAAATAAGTTAATCATATGTCGTTTAAGTAATGACGTATAATTAACAAATAATTGTCACTTTATCGTAATTTTTATTTTAATATCAAACACTAATGATAAAACTTCAAATGTTTTTAAAAATTCTTTTCGTCTACTTTTAAGCGATATCATCTAAAGAGAAAAAATTGTAATTACATTAATAATCTTCAATTTCTAGAATTACAAAGCATGGTTCCTTTACGATCACTATGATAGACGTTCGACTAGCTTCATCATTTATACATTTGCTTATTTCTTTTCATTTTAACCTATTGAATTCGTTACATATTTTATGAACTTCACTGAGTTATTTAATTATCTTCTATCAAACTTTTAATAGTTATTTGTAAAATATGGAAGATAATTTAACCATGAAGTCTAGTTCTTAAAAATTCTAGGTATATTTGTATTTTTGTAGTGGCTAAAGTGCTGTTTTATTCCTGTCAATCATTCAAATATACACGTCAGAATACATATAAAAGCCTCCAATATTTTCATTAATTTATATTTTAGTTAAACTATATTATTTTAGGATTTTAATTTCCGTACTTGAACTTAAATGATATTTTACGAATATGATATTACATAGTCCCGTTAGAAATTCAGAATGTCCTATATATATAAATACTAACAACTCGTCGCTATCTCCTTTATTACTTTTGTCTCCCTTATTTGCTAAAAGAGGAAGTGAGACAAAAAGTACCCTGTTACACGACATAAAATCCCCAAAAATATATTTTGACCGTGTAAATCGAATTATTATTGCCTGTGTGGGAAATAAAAATTGATGTAATAAATAATGTACTTATAATTCAACATATAAAATATTACGTTCAATTCGATTTTATAATTTTTTATGTATTTTATTAAATTTTCTTATTAGAGAAGTTTAATATAAAAAATTTTATTCTTTTTTTTATTGTATAAATATATGATTGGTATTGAGAATGTAGCAGGTATTGCACAAGAAACAACGAAGTTGCAAATAAAATGGTATGTTGTAAAAATAAAACAAACCTTTAACTGATAACATAGAGTGTAAGACCAGTAAGGTTAGAAATTTGTAAACTGAATGAAATTTTTTGAAAAATGTATTTCTTGCTTTGTAACATCGTTAATATTTTCAAAATAAAATTATTAATTATATAACTTTGTTGGATTCACAATTTATATTTTCTATTTTAATTTTATTTTATTCTATGATATTTATTTTATTGTACAATTTCATTTGCAACTTTGTTAATTTTTCGGTTTAGAGTAATAACAATTACGGTTATATTACTAATTAGGAATTTTAAAATGCTGATATTATGAACAGTGCGAAAAAAAATCAAAAACGAATTTAAAAAGTAAAAATATGATTTTCATTTCTCTTTAAGGAATACATTCCTCTTTATGATACAATATGTTTAAACACATACAGTGACAGGAAAAGTATTTTTATATACATACATACATACATTTCTAACTGTTGGTTTCAACTGGCGATATATATGTTTTTTTATGTAGTATTAAGTTAAAATGTATTTACACAAAATTGTATCTTTATTCTTAATTATAGAATTAGAGAATACTTCAATATAAATACATTTTAAGTAATTACCACATTGAAAGGGGAAAGTCGACAGTGAATACCTTTCTTCTGTCACTGTATACAAATATCTTCCGGTCAGTTTTCACTTTGTAAAATCTATGCTTCAGGCTAATCATACTCCATTAATAGATTTTTTTGTGTGCCGCCATATTGTACCAAATATTGAAAGGTACATTTCAATTCTGACGTAGGAACCTACGTAAGTATTCTTTTCGTAGAAAATGTGTACATTATCCGTAGATCGCAATTATTCAAATACTTTAAAATTCTAAATGGATATGTTATATTTAGAAACCAAAGATGGTTGTCAAATTTGGTTGTATGTACATATTCGTAAGTATAAAGAGAAACATTAGATATTGACATCCAGGATAATAAAGGACCTGGCTGATTGAGAATGCGGTTAATTGCAACCCGGTTAATGGAGGTTCTACCGTGAACAAATAATTGTACGAGGTCCGATCAATTACGCGCAAGTATATACTTACGAAGAGCAGTGTGCAAGTGAAGAGAAAGCATAGCTTTTAATATCATGTAACATTGCCTTCGAATGCATTGAGCTTGAAAATTTATCAACCACACATTATGACAAGAGCTCCTCGGTTGAGTAAGAGCAGAACTGTTATCGGACCAAGCTGCATGTTAGCACAGCTGTGTGGGTAAAGAGCGACATCTGTTTTATTTCAGTTCGTGGATTCTAAATTACGTGATTCTGAAATTATATTAACCAATATATTTAAAATATTACATTTTAATTTGTTAAATGACTTTTAGAAATTTCTAGAATTTTATTCTATATTTTATCGCAATCCCTTCATTTTTAACCTATTTAATAATTAAGAAAATTTGTGTAATAATATGAAAACTTTTAATTTAACACATTGTAGCTACAAATAGTTTAATTGATTTAACAATTTTTTTAAATACATACGTTAATATTTACTGTACTCTAATATATGTAATAAATAAAATTTCCTATATAATTAAAAATATTGGATTGAGTTATAAATATTTTTTACCATCAATAAGAAAAATTTATTTTTCTGAGAAAACTATATTTTAGATTTGTAATTTTAAAAAATCATATCAGTAATGTGTGAAATTTAACAAATGTATATTTCTTATGATGTTCGGATTGGAAATAAATTTTTATCAAACATAATTCCTTTATAATTCAATCCAATGTATTCATTGAATTAGTCAGAATAGGAACTTAGAATGTGATAATGCGTAGGCAGTTCAGCAATGATTTTATCATAAACGCCACTTTATTTGTCTATGTACAGAACATCTTATTAATGTTTCTATTTAACGTTTTAGTAGGACTTAGTGGACTGAACATATATACATTTCAGCGTTAATTAACGCTCTTACCATTGTACCCTGACTCAAATGATACGAGGAATTGTGTACTGAAACGGCCGCTTTCAGTGCACAGAGGATCGCGTTAGAAAATATAAAAGAAAAAAGTCTCTTATAGTCACATTTTCATAACACGCATGCGATAATCTTGCACTTAACCTTATTTTCGCGAAGTTAGAAAATAATTTGCATAGATATTAAATACAAGAACACTTGGTACTTTCTTCGAACCAAACCATTAGCGAAGATCAGAGGGTGTAATCGTTCAATATAAATTTCTCTATCAACATTGACTTTATAATAATCCCATGAAGTTGTAACAATTTTTAGAACAAATACCAATATAAACTTAAAGACATAATGAGCTGCATGTGTAAACTATTACACATTAGGTGTAAAAGGTTTGTAAAGTCCTATTGAAAATTTATAAATACTGTAACAAACAATAGTAAATATGTTGTCCCTTAAATTGTATGGTCACAAACCGTGAATAATTTAAGAAGTAAGATGGAACTGTAATTTTTTCAGAATTAATAAGTATCTTTTTTAATTTATCGCCATATACGCTTTATCATCGACATTTATTTGTTCTTCTAATAAGACAATATTCGACACTTCGATGAGTTCAGTAGTTTAGTACATGAAAGTTCAGATACAAAGACATACGAGCTTTTTACAAATTAAAACTGATTTTTAAACAGAGAATAATGTTTAAATGGTATTAAGTGAACTTTTATATGCAATCTTCTTCAAATGTGGGTATCATATCTCTTTCACATATTTTCAAATTTTATAGTCTTAACAGGAATAACTTTACTCGGAGGTCTTTGTTCACAAGGAATTGGAATAACGATTATTTTCCCTTAGACCTTCTCTAACGTTTTCCAACAAAATTTTTCCTTATCCTAGGCCGTCTTCTATCGTCGTATCGACGGAACAAAAAATAAAGATTCGGGATCAGACAATCTTTCGATGCAACAGCTATTTAACCCTTTATTTGGTAACCTTTCAATGGATGAACATGGTTTTTACACACAAATTATATACGAAAGCATAGACGAATTTTAATCCGACATACATGTTACTAAATAACATCACATACAAAGGAACATCGCGTTCTAAAGGCCAGTATAGGATACTCTTATAATTCGCGGCTAAACAGTAACAGCGATTACTTTTCCATTGAGAAATATAAATATTTGTTAGAAACTGTTTGCATAAAGTTTCATTCTTAAAACAATTTAATTTGTCAGTAAATGAACCTTTATACAACTCATCAGCTTTTGTACATTTATAAAGATGAATTATACATGGATACTTTCTATTTCAATGTCAAGAATATTGGTTACTTATAGCCTATTAGGAAAAAATTTTATTGCGATGCACCTACAAATTTCCATTGTTTATTCTTATTTTGTACTAATGAAGACAATTAGTTGAAATGAGAAATAATCTATGACTTGCACAAAAAGAGTAAAGTGATTTCGATCACTAGATAGTATTACTCCTTAATATATGTCTTAATCTAATGGTCATTGTCATTGTCATTTCCATAATTGCTCTGTACCTTGGATTTGATTTTGAAATAAATCCATGATCTGATTACTTAGAATCCATGATTAATATAATTAATATAATCCGTAATCTGATATTACAAACATAAATCGAGGTTACTAATTGACATAAACAATTAACTTAAACTCAACTCGTCCGATGCAAGCAAGAGTAATTCCTCTTTACTACCGCATACAGAAGTCTTTTTAACCAAATAATCGCTGCCTTGTAGGTTATACCGCGAATTACATCAAATATCCCATATAGATACCACGAATAGAATTTTCAGTAATTCTCGGTACCCGGACATCGTAACGGGGGAAAAAACCATGTCCTAACCCTGGCAACAGTTACTGATGTCCCTCGGCCAAATAGAGGATTAAGAAGGTAAATTGGCTGTAGCGTGCGCGGAATATTAATCTGTCTCCCGGAAGAATCAGTCTTGATGATTGTTAGGTAGCTCTGGTACGACTTGATCCTGACACGAGGATCTACTGGTTGTTGTGCAAACACGCAGCGGTTTCGACAGCCACGGGTGTCTGGGTACGTCTTCGGCGTATGGTCTCTCGGATGGCTCTTTTCTCAGTAGCGAGCGGATGAGGCACCGTGCTCGTGGACTGAGACACTCTGGGACCGCGAACTGGCCGCGCGAAATTTTCGCAAACAAGGATGCATGCTCGGCGTCGTTGAACGGATAACGACCCACCAGCATCGTGTACAGCAAAACACCGAGGGACCAGATGTCGGCGGCTTTGCCGGAATAAGCTCGGCCTGAGCGTAATACTTCCGGTGCGACGTATGCTGGACAGCCCCTCCGATCGGTTAATTTGTCATCCTCATCCTCGACGATCACAGCGTCCTCAAGACTCTCCAAACGAAGTCGTGTCCTGAAAACGGATAATAGTCAAATTAGAAAAATTGAATTTATAGATTCGGATGGGAGTTATGTGTTAAGTTTTTCGTCTCCCCCAAGTGTCATTGCTATACAACACAGGATAGCAGGAGTAATAAAAGATAAGTAGTCTAAAGATTCTTGTGTCGATGCAACTGGTTGTTAACAACGAAGACTAATTTACCTCTTTACAAGAAAACTCTACGTACTTAGAGTAGATCTGTCGTATATTATGTACATTTTTTAAAGGTAATTGATGAACATAAGAATTATATAAGAGCTTTTCTATCTCAAACACATGTTCAACAAGAATATTAAATCTCCGTTCAACTTTATTAAAATATTCATTTTGTTAAACTTTCTTCAATGGCATGTGTTGTAAACATACAAATATCCGCGGTTGAATTATAAGTATTTTTGAGTGAACAGAATTATCATTAAATTGTGAATGTTCATTTAAATTCAAGAAGTTTCCACAAGTTAATTTATAAACATTAGAAATACATACAACTCTGTGTATTGTATTGAAAATTCGTATCGTTTCTCATCTCGTGTCATCGTGATCGTTATCAAATTTAATTATCGGTTTTAGTATTGCACGTGAATTGTCTGTAACGTTGTTCGTCGAAGTGTTTCGTACCACAACCTCAGCGAAATGATTCATAGTCTGCATATTATATGGACCATTGATAGAAAAAGGAAGTCGCCGATGTGAAACGTTGTTTCACGCATGCGTCCGTAGGCGAAATATTTTAATGTAGCAAGAGGACACCGCGATTGAGCCATAGCGGCGTAACTGTCGACGAGGCATGGTCGGGTATCGTGGAACAGGGCACAAGGAAAGGACTGGTGAAAGAAAAGAGAGTGCCGGCTGGCGGTTGATCAACCTGCAACGCGGAAGTCGCAGAACGTGTGTACGTAATATTCCCGGGTCTTGAGTAACTTCAAGCTTTCCACGATGTTCCTTCTCACACCGGTTACGATACTTGATCGATACGCAGCGGATAGGAATATTTCGTAGCTCAAGTTTTAGGGCCAGCTTTCTTTGTAATCAAGTTGATCTTCGTGCGAGTTCCTACACCCACCCCTCCGTTTACGTGGTACACACTTCCTTTACGCGAGACATTTTTGTTTGTACGAAATACCAACTTATGCGATTCGAATTTAATGACACCGAACAAAATTTACTTTTGTTTTCTGAAATGTCATTATTATCGTTATTTGTTTGTTAAGCTGTGTGAAATAAATAAGTATTTCTGAAACTTATTAACAATTAACTGTTTCCTGGACAAAAAAGGTAGTTGCAGAAATTTACGCTTTAGTATTACAACATGTATATGCTTTGTTAGTAACGTGATTTGTATATTTCAGTTTTATGGTTTCGTCTGTAATAAAGAGTTTCTAGCGTCACAAAGTTTGTAAATAAGTGAAGAACAGAATGAGATTTTCTGTCCGGATTATGTATGGTTTCTTTTAATTACATTTCAAATAATTCTAATTTTGTATTGAACTCCTTTAATAATAGTATTTGACTAAGTAATATCAAATACATTTTCCCGCCATTGTGCTCGTTAAATGTTTAAGAACGGTACAAGTTTTCCATGTTCTCCGACGGTATAAAAATCATATGTTACAAAAGAAGGTGTACACAAGAAATTTTTTTAACCACTTAACGACCGAATTATTTCGCAAAAGTCTGTATCTGAACTTTAACCAACCGATGCGTGAATATAATAAAACAATAATCTGACGTATTGGCACATTTGTCCGTTAACCCTTTGCAGTCAAAAGACGACTTACAATCGGTATTTCGTCAGATACAGAGAAATTATAAAATTATATATTCAGTACCAAATTGTATGCAACGTAATTAGATATGAAATATTAAAATAAAATAGTTTTAACCCTTCATTCGTGTATTATTTGCGTTTAATATCATAAAAAATTTCATTAGATGATACTTTAGACAATACCATCAAAAATGATGAATATGTGTAACGAAAAAACTTTCGAGTGCAAAAGGTTAATACATCTAGCAGACATGAGTATACTCTGTTTTGTGTCAATTCAATTGATAAATACTAGGTCGGTGTTAACGTGCTATAAAGGAAACTGATACAATTGAAAATTTTGTGTATATACGGACATGGCCTTTAAGCGATTGGAAGCTTAATAATCATTCGAATAGTAGTCCTTTCAGATAATTGCGAGATACAGGAGCTTCGAAATCGAATTATTGCCAACGGTGACGTTCTTAGAATACATGTAATACGGGCTGGCGGGAATGCGCGTACGTAATATTCTCGAGTCTTGAGCAACTTTTAAGCTCTCGACGATACTCGTTTTCATATCGGTCGGGACACTTGGTCGATATGTGATGGCGTAATCGATCTGGAAGCGCACACGCGCCGAGGAAAGGAAATATAATAGATGTCACGGGACTACCGGATTCATCTTATGCTCTTCGGGATGAATTATGCACAAATTACAGCACAAACAAAATAAAACGACCATTGATCTTTCCTTTGATTCCTTATTACATAAGGACGTAAGACCCGCGATGAATATTTCTGGATTAATTTCATGAAAATCAATATTGTTCGTTGTCCATGGATTAAAGCAAAAATTATTTTGCTTTTATTAATTTATTATTTCCAAAGTAAATTTACGCTTACAGTGGAATGGAAAATTGTTTTGTGTTTCTTTCAAACTGTCGATAGTAAAATGTTACTCCAAGGGGCAATACGACCAGAATTTATAAACCACAAATAATATAAGTTTTACTGAAGCACAAATGTATCGAGTATTGTTTTCCTCAAATTATATAAGTTACTTTCTTCGTGACTCATTGCTGAGAATTAACTGAAATTTTAGATGATCATCTAGAGTAAGAGTAACATTTTACATTGCATTACAACTTAAATCTCTTAAAATAAGAGATACGAACTGTTTATATCCCATTCTAATTAACTGATAATGACTAAAATCATTATTGCTTTTACAATATGCAAAAAAAGAAAGTTTTACGTTAAACAATAAAATTATATAACAACTTATTATTTTCATTAATAATGGACTTCTGCGTGCTTAAAATATCACAGTATTTGCGAAAAATAAGGTGAAAAATCATTAGAGTATTCAACTAACGTATAAAAATTAAAATAATTTTAATTACAAAATGATATTATAGAAACATTCGTGTCTATACTTCTTTCATTCGACACAACTCCTTTTTTCGATATCAAATATCGCAAGTGAAAGTATCGGTACTAGAAATACTTGGTATCGATGATACTTCATTCATATTTACTTGGATCGGAACATCTTATGTAGCTGTTACTAGTCTTAGCAAGAGGATCTACCGTAGGCAGATCACTTAATGGTTAAACTGAGCAACAAGGATCTAATTGGTCAGTTCTCATTTTTCTTACTATGATAATTTGCTATTTGCCCATTATAAACAAAATACACAGTAAAAGACCTCTTTTCCTCGTGTGCCATCCCGTTAAAAATCAAGTCATCTCCCTATAGCAGTGATTTTCAAAGTGGGGGACGTGGACTAGTACAAAGGGAGACGCTAGAAGTTATTATTCTGACAATTAAATTTTTTTCATTTTTTGTACCGATACATTTTTTACCATTTAAAAATGTAATAAAACGGGATGGAGGCGCCAAGCCTACTTTTTTTTAACACTAAAACCACCAGACAGGTTAAAATGACATATTCCTAATTTTTTGTTTTAAAATCATTGAGAAGATACAAGCGTTTTCCAGAGAAACGACTAAGTAAGCTACTTTGCTAATGCACGACTTAAAATATAATCTAATGAACATCTCAATAAATATACTCTTATAATATTTCCAGAAGAACAAAAAGAAGTCAATTTGGATTGTTCAGTAGCTTTAGTGTTAAAGGAGGGCATAGTAACAAACTGGAAATTACTACCCTACAGTATGGGTAGACCATCGGTATTGTCCGAGCAGCTCTTCTCCGCTTTCATCGATTCGCCGAGCCAGAGCGATGAGGAAAGGAAGAGAGAGCCTGGCGAACGATCTTGAAAATCTGAGCGAGTGTCAACGGCCTCGAGTTATCGTTTCTGAGAAGGAACCCGGTTTCGCTCGTTTCTCGCCGGCATGGCACGCTCTCCACCTCGGATGCACGAGATGCTATAACGTGACGAGGATAGGCGACCGGCAGCAGACCACAGCTTTCTTCGCAAACTTTCACTCGTAAGCAAACGACTCCTACGACACGCGGCGGGTTCAAGAACCCCGACGGTGAATTCTAGTGCGATGATTTCCTCAAGAGAGGCCTCGTGTATTCTCGAATACCGTTGCTCGAGGGACACCGGCGGCGCGGCCATTGGCTACCGTTGTCGCTTTAATCTTTCCTCTTATCCTTTTTGTTCGTTTTAATAGGTTGATATATACGTATGTGGTACACTGGCTGTTCACAGAAGTATTTAAAAATGATATATCTATAGGGGAAATGTTGTACAGTAGATGCTGGATAGTAGATATAGTAGAACCTCGATTAACCGATTTAATTGGCCAACTAATTGTCCAGATAACTGGATAGTTGAGAGGAGGAAATTGTTCGAAACATATTTGTAACATTCGATTGTATATATTCTGAGATATAATCCAATGATCCAAATTATTCAGTTTCAATTAACTAAGACTACGAATGATCTGGATCGTGAAAAATAGTTACTCAATTAATCGAGGTATTTTGAGGTTCTCATTTTTTTGGAATTTCTTGTGTATGATGCTTGGAGTACATGTGGAAGTAATGTGCGTACATTTTATTAACATCTAATTGCATACGCCTGAGACGTCTATTTTTATTACAAATTTATCGATTTTAAGAACTTTTGTGGACCAGTTACATAAGAACCATTTTAATTAACAAATCAATTTTTTTTTATCGAGCCAACAATGGAATGCTTTGAAGCTCTTCAAGAATCCTGACACGCATATGTACACATGAATTTA